GAAACTATCGACCAGTTTAGCATCGTAAACGGACTGTTGTTTTTCAATTTTTTTATTGCAGATTTAATACTTTCTAAGAAGCAGACATTACTCTACTTTTTAATGTACCCAAGCAAAAACGACCCAATTTTTTGGGTTATTTATCTAGATTCAGGTCCACGTGCATCTAGATGTACGTGGAGCTGAATCTAGATAAATAACCCAAAAAATTGGGTCGTTTTTGCTTGGGATACTTAAAACGATTTCGCGCCGTACCTTTTCTTCTACGAAATCTAAAAAGAGTTTAGAAATGATTGCACTTTTCTGCACCCTTTTAGCTTTCGTGCACAAACCAATTTTTAGACAGTAGAGCTCATTTGCACTAGACACTAATTCACAAAAAATATTGTTCAGTCTAAGAATTCAATAAGAAGCTGATATGAATAAAAAAAGAAGTTCCCTCGATGCTTAATGAATTCTTATAAGATTCTGATGCGACTGTTAAGGAATTCTCAACCCTTTTGTAGCAAATCCTGTATATGCATTTAACCCGAGTCGGATAAGATGTGTGTCTCGAATTCATGGATACCTTCATGGTTCCTGTATAACTCATGGATGATTCCTATCTAAAAATCAATATACAGGAAAAAAATTGATGGATCGCTTTCGGAATTTCTGAGAACATAAAAAATGCTGAAGCGAACTCACTTAGTTGTGAGACTACGTACCATTGTAGAGAACGAAAATATTGTCTGTATATTGTTGTTATTGTATGTCGTAGTAAAAATCTTAGACACTTCTTAAAATTATCTTACCAAGATTCTATAAGATCTTATCCTTTAAGATTTTGAAAAGATAATCTAGGACGTTACCATTTAAGGTTTTAATAAGATTTAATGGTTCGACTTTCATTCACCCTTTTGTTTTGCTCTCATTCATATAAGGAACACCGAAAATATGAGTGATTTTACGGTTATTTTTCGTTCAGGCTCTGCTAGTACTTGCTTTCTCGAAAGTATTTAACGACTTTTTAGAGAGTATACATACAGGGCAATGTCCATGGTTGGACACTCGAAAACATGAAATTTCCCGTCATTCTTCAGCACTGTTCAACTGTTGCTTTGGATAATGCGAATTAAAGATTCAAAAATTCTCAGTGAATCTTGAATGAATCTTATTACAAAATGTCGTCGTTCTTACTATTAAGATCTTAACAGATTCTTATCTAATCTTGAAAAAGTCTTAGACAGTATAATCTTTAGTGATGGCGTCTGAATTTAGAGTTCACGTACTTGATAACTAAACGAAAGGAAAGAAAAGGAAAATGTTACGTAAGAAACGGTAAAAACAAAATGGCAGCTTAACGTCTAAACGAAATGGGAGATCCTTAACATAAGAAATAAATTAACGTTAAGGATTATAGGACAAATGACGACGCTAAAGAAATGAAATAGTATAAAGTGATAATTTTACTAATAATCTTAGTAAGATCTTAGAAAAATCTTATCAAATTTTAGAATTTTCGGGTGTCACAATCTTAGTAAGATTTGTCTAAGATCTGGGTTAGATTCGAGTAAGTTTCTCACCAGGGAGGTACTGCTTTTACAATATGACACACCTTGAACTTTAATGAAATAGTACAAAAAATCCAAAATAGGTTAGAAAATGAACATAGAATATTTTCTTCTGTACTCTTAAATCTGTTAAAATTCTCACTAATTAGTGTAATTAGTATATAAACAAGAAAAATGATTTATTTTGAATTCAGTGGCGAAAAACAACAAAAATACATTCGTATCTAACCCTTTAACAATTAAAATCACTACAAGCTGTTTCATATCTTTTAGATAATTTTACATTAAATAACTGGATTATTGGTTTTACATCATTTTCGATCTCTACATCAATATGTGAATCATCAAATACACCAACAACATTAACGACCACCTCACCTCCACTTTTCAAAAGCAACTTTTTTATTACATTTTTTCTTTATACAGTACATACTTATGTCAAGAAAAGTTCATCCACAGAAAGCAAAACACCCTTTTCAATTGACGGATGCAAAATAAAACGGTGAATGTATAAAAATGGTTACGGTATTTCTCTGAGTTGTGGTCTAATAAATTATCGTCCGTTAACCGTGTAGTGTGCCGGGAGGTACGGTAAATAGACAGAAATTTGTTGAACCGCCGGTATTTTAAAAAATAGCTTTACATGGATTATCACTTAGACAACTTCTCAGTTTTGTACTCAGCTTCGTACCCGTACCCGACCTTCCAGTGGGGTGGAGCACGAGTACGGGTTGGGTTGCACATCTCTACTTCTCAGGTCAAACAATCCTACCGTAGGATCCTACAAGATTCTTACAAGATCCTACGAAACTCTTGCAGGATTTTGCAGGAAAACATCAAAGCCAAAAAATCGTACTCTGAGATTCTTATGGGATCATGTAGTCAAATCTTGCAAGATCCTATTGTAAGATTGCAGTAGGATTTTGTCTGATTTTCTGCTGGTTTATCCTACTAGGTTTATTGTCTTCATTTGTTTAATTATGCTTGGATCGCAGCTGGGCAGAATCAGGTAATTCTGAGTTGGGATAAGCGGAAGCCTTGTGAGTTCCGACTCACACGTCGTCGAACAGTAACGAGTTTCGATGACTCACAGTGTTCGGTGCCCAAATTTTTGACTAAAAGAATTCTTCATTTTCTACAGTACAATCGAATTGTACTTATATTAGAGTTACTACAAAATACATCGGTGACTGTGTTCTCGTATAGAAAAGAAAGGAACAGGACGAAAAAAACACGGCCCGACATAAAATCTTACCATAGGATTTTGTAAGAAATGCATAAGACTCATATTATAGAAATCCTATAGGATTTTTGCTACTCTCCTATACCAAGGATCCTACAGGATTTCGTAGGACCTACAGTAGAAATCCTTTGAAATTCTATTACCAGTAAGATTCTACAAAATCTTGTAGGATCCTAGTAGGATTACTTGACCTGGGTTCCATACTATACAACTGCGTCATCTACCTTCCATTGCCTCTTATTATAGACGTCATTGTATATTACCTATTTCGGTATACTTTCTGTACTGATTAACAGCGACTAACAGTTCTATACTAAAATTTTGTGTTGTATATACATTTTCGACTCGTAGTTTTATTGTAGAGTTGCGTCATCTATTGAGTTTATCTTTTACTATTAAATTCTAACGGAATTCTTATATATTTATTGGTGATATATGTGTGACTATTCATTGTTAGTATATTATGTAATTGAATTGTATGTAACTGCATTAACAATTCTTTTGTGTTCTCTCTCTTTTGATTGCCCTTGTCCATGAAATACTTATCTGTCATATTTCTACATTCTACACACATAGAAACATAGCAACAGCTTCTCTATAAGGAGTCCCAAAGACAAATGAAAGAAAGCCTCTGTTTTTTAGTAGAGAAAAATTATGTTTCGTTTAAATTATTTAGTTTTGATTTCTTTTGTTATTGTGTTATTAACATTATTATTTCCATCATCCCATATTTTAGAAAATTTTAAAATGGTTGATAATTCGATTGTTAAATTTATAAAAGAGACAACGAATAAACTATTTGGATCATTAACAGATGTGAGTGATACAACAGCAACATTAACAAAACAATTATTATTACAAAAGTTGATAGCATCAGGATTAATTGAACCAAATGATATTAAAAAAAGTTTACAAATTGGTATGAATAAAATATTGAGCTTTATTGTCTTGTCATTTTGTTAATTATTTTATTCAGGTATTGATTATTTTCTTAATCTTAAATTTAATTCATACTCTTCATTATCAGTTGATAATCAATATGAAATTATTGAACGTGAAAAATTTCCAGTAAATAGTAGTGAAAATACAACGAAACATACATTACCCGATTTTGATATTGAAGCTTATGCATTAGATGCATTTTATTATTTAATGAATATTTATGGTAATCATTCTCAAAAATTACAACAATCGATAAAGAATGGTGAATTAGAAGATTTAGAAAATCCAGGTACAAAATTTTCTTTTGATATTCAAATTTATTTACTTTTTTTTTTGTTTTGTTTATCTCTTTAGCCAATTCTGGTTCATTACTTTACACAACATCAGATAAGAAATTTATAATAAAAACTGTTCGCGATTATGAATTTAAATTTATTCAACAAATATTTTTAAAAGAATATTCTAATTATATGAAATTACATGGAAATCAAACATATTTAACAAAATTTGAATCAATGTTTGGTTATATACCCTATGTAACATCTCCAACAGCAAGTTTAAATGTTGATTCATTTACATTAAGATTTATAATATTTCGAAATTTTATACCAATAAATTTAAAAATACATGAAAAATATGATTTAAAAGGTTCATCATATGGACGTGATGCAAATATAGATGAAAACCAGTAGGTATTATTAGATTAAAATCATTATGAAAATAAAACAGAGAGTTCTAATTTTAGTTGCTTGACAGATAATAGTAGAACATAAGATGGTAATAGTCAATTTTTGTGAATTGTTATTCTTAAAAGAATTTCTGATTAGGATCAGTGTTTCTAATAGAATTTATCCGTTGATCTTGTTTTTTTTCTCTCACAAAGCATACATATTTCAAATCTAAAAAGACTTACTAGTTAAAACACTTTTTTTATATTTTCTCTTAAATGTAAAAAAAGGTTCGATTAGAAAACAAAGCGTAAACAACGATATCATTGCTTCTAGGTATGTGCATCAGTTAAAAACTGGTGTTAGGGCATACGGGGAAAACTACTCTAATCTGATCATGAAGAATCGATAAGAGTTGTGAACTCTCTCATTTTGTAGAAAAATATTTGCTCTACAAACTTCAGTTGTTAAAAGAAATTTAAATATACTTTGAACAAAAATATGATCATTTTGAAGTGTAATAAATCACGGGAAAAAGAACTGTTCGAATGGTTCTTTTTTCACGATTTTAATGCATTTCAGAATGTTGACATTTCTGTCATAAATAGCATCGAAACGTCTTTTGAGATTTCAACATTATAAACTAAACATTTTTCTACAAAATGAGAGAGTTCACAACTCTTATCAATTCATCAGAATCAGTTTTCCTGTGTGTGTCCTAATATCAATTTTTTTCTGATGCATACCTAGTTGCTTCGCTGTTTATGATAGCAAAGTGTAAAACAGAGCATATTTTTAAATTTCGAAGCGTATGTACACTTTGCTATAAGAAATACTGATTAGGACGGTAAAGTTATCCAAGTTCTGACACTTTCCACTAGATATTTTTGAATTCTTTTTTTTGCCAAAAATTTGTTGACCATTTTCATGAGCATTACAAATGTTACGATTACCTTGGAGTTAATTGACCAAACAGGCAGCTAGAGGCTGCGAGCTATTATGAGTAGACAGTCACAATGAACGGCTCTATTAAAGTTTGATTAGTTGTCAGATATTGGCGTACGCACGCAAGTCAAGTCAAAAATGCGTCAAGTTCCAGTCAAGTCAGACTTGATTTGGTCCAAAATTTTCTGAGGGTATGATTTGACTAGAGAAACATTTTCAAGTCAGGTCATTTCTAGTAAGAGATTCTCGTTTAAGTTAGACTTTTTCTACCGTGAAAGAGAGTTTCTGAGGCTATAAAAACTCTCTCACCCAAAAAGGTGCTAGCAAATTTTTTATGTTCTGCCTAATTTTAATCAGACTTAGCTTAACTTGGGAGAAAAAATTTCAAGAGACGCCATGACCTGAAATTCTTTTTGATGACTTGACTTGACTTGTGACTTGCCCAGCTCTGTCTGACACACCCAAATGGTTCACTTCTTTACAGAAGATTGTCTTTCAGCAGAAAGACCAGTCCATAGGTTGTTTTTGCGCTTCTACAGGTAAAAAAATCAATGCCATCTTCAAAATAAATTAGAAGTATAAAAGCTTTGCTAGTAGACATGGACGGGATCAGTAAAGTTTTTCTACCAGGATCGAGACTACAAACTACAAACTTTTTTTTCAGTACCTTTCAGAACTAAGATTTCGTTTGACAGTTGCGTAAAATCACCGAAAACTTGACCTGTTCTGCATACTTAACTAGAAACGTTGTAGAAAATTGTTAGGAAGTCTTACAGTTCGATTTTATGTAACTAAGCATGTACCGATTATTTTGCTTATATGATCAGAAGAAGAAACATATGACATACCTCATCTATTATGGAACAGATAACTGTCGATTGGAAAGCTTCTGAACTTCCTGGCATGTTTTTCGTATGAGCAGAATTGCTTTAAGAGTCGGGACCAGAATCAGCATCATAAAAATCTTCCTGAATCGGGACGGGACCGAAACAACTTTACGGAACCGGACTCAAAAGTCTTGATCCCGCCTATGTCTATGTACTAGAATAATTTCTTTTACCATCAATAAAAAGAATATGATTCCCTTCCTCAGTCAACTTTTATTTTAATCTGTAAAAAGACTGACTAAAACCGGTCCAAAAATCTGTATATAACGCAATACAAGCGGTTTCTTTATAGTACTATCAATAAAACTCTAGTTCTTTAATATATTCAATGATATCACCTGTTTTTTTCCTAAAATGATGATCAACAAACACACCAGTAAACGGTTGTACATTTTTCTATAGTGTGAATCAAATGTTTTTCATTATACCACTTTTTTTAAGTTTTCTTGCTGAACTATCAATGTTTTCTTTCTTTTTGTCGAAGTTTTATTTATAGTTATCATTTTTAAAGTGACTTTTCATGAAGAAACAAGTTTTTCACTTTTTCACTCATATACTTTTGATATATCAGATATAAAGTCTATTTTTAATGAGTCTAAGTTAAATGTGAACCATCTCTTCAAAGTTGTTGTTTTTCTTTTATTTAGAAATCCTTCCACCACATTAAAAGATAATGAATTTCGTGAAAAACATCCAAATGGTTTAATAATATCATCACATGATTATAATCATATAAAAGATACATTAACACGTGATACAGAAGTATTAAAAAGTCTAAATATTATGGATTATTCATTGTTACTAGGTAAATAAAAATTGATATGATTTTATTGAAGAAATAATGTTTTCTTTTTTTTTTGTCTTTTGTAGTCATTCATAATATGAATAGAAACGATGAAAAACAAAAAGATGACGATAATAAGAATAACAATAGAAATGATATAAGTGATGATGGAATATCAGCACTGAATGAAAATGGTGAACGTTTACTAATCTATTTTGGTCTCATCGATTTGTTACAAACGTAAGTTGAATACAAATATATCTGATTTTATTATCTTATGTCTATTACTTACCAGAATTTTGAATTTTATTATCTTTTTGATTGATTTTAACTATATTTGTTTCAGTTTCGATGTATGTAAAGTAATTCAACATCAGTGGCACAGTCTACAAGACGGTGATGATGTTGATAAACGATCAATCAATGAACCAGAATTTTATGCTAAAAGATTTCAAGATTTTGTATTTAATAGTGTGTTTAAATCATCCTCTATTGATGATTAATGAACACTAAATTTTAGTTTTTTTTTCTCTATATATACGTACACCATTGTTTCTAGTCAGATATATAAATGAAACTAATGATATGATTATTCTAGCCTCTTTTCTTTCTTAATGTAATTGCATTTACTTTTGTATTAGTGGATGACAACTTTTTGTTTTTTTATTTGTCTCTTTTGAACAGTTTGTTTATTCAAGTTTTGTTATTATTATTGTTGTCGTAAGTTACATAATACAAGTTTCCAAGTGAAAAGAATGAACAGATGCGAATCAAACCGTTTTTCTTCGATTTACATTGGTCATGCCAGTGGAAAGCGTGTAAGATATGAAAAGATCAAGCTCATAGACCTTATAAAGAGTTAGCATATGGAAATATATGTAGATACTCCGAGAACGATCACCTTTTAAGATAATTACATAACGATGGCCTTATTATTTATTAAGTTCTTTACTTTCTTATTCACTTTATTTAAATATAAACTTAATACTTACATATAAATAAACGAAATAAATTTCGAAACAATAGACGAACTTGTGAAATTTGTTTCATTTGTTTATATGTAAGCATTAAGTTTATATTTAAATAAAGCGAATAAGAAAGTAAAGAAATTAATTAATAATAAGGCGGGTCATTATAGAATTATTTTAAAATGATAAGAATATGCCTAATAAGGATAATGTAAATCTAAACGATCACCTTTCATAAAGCAAATCTTTAGAGAACAAATGCAAGACCTAATGAAAATGACGTGTACATTGGGATTTTATACTTTTAGAGCTGCAGAAATGCCCATAGAATCAAGTTCGATGTTATTTCACTTTCATTCACAAGTTTTTTCAAATAGTCGGAATTTATCAGGTAGTTTATTTTAGTCATGAGGCTAGTAAATCATAGACAAACTTATTCTGTGTGTAAATGTACAACTTTAACTAAATGTTCACGTGCACTATCAATAATATGTTACTCTGTACGTTTATCATTCTTTTCTTCATCACGTGTTATATATCACATATCGTGATCTTTACTCATATTCACTGTGTCATTCTATATGACAATTAAAAAATAACCAGATAGTACTTGTTTTATGTAAATTAACCTTTAATCTCTTATGCAAATATCAGTTTATTTTCATGATAGGTATAATACAATGGCTCAGCTATAAATATCTAAATAGTACTACTAAATATTATATAAAATATAGAGACATAAGAGCACACAGTTCTACACGTGTCTTCACTGAAAAATAAAAATGTATTTTTTCTCTTTTCACATTTTGTCGAACGTATCACATATAGATTCATAAGAACACGTTTTTTTCTCATTTAAGTAACACGGAAATATTGCACCTTATGACCTGTGGCTATAAAAGAATTATTTCGCTGTAACGTGAACAGCATAAACAAAACTCCACTAATATAACGTGTACTACTAGTTTCGTTTGCGAGAGATAGGAATTTTCATTAACACTCAAAGTGTTCAAGAAAACATAATAACACCTGAAGTAAACAGCACTCGTTTTTATTAAGCTACCCCTCAGAAATGGTGATTTTCGGTCAAAAAATCGGTTTTGAGATACGCACATGAAAAGATAGCCTGAAGTGTCTACTTCCAGAATCTGTATTGCTTTTGGTTGCAA